TCAGGCATCTCCGCTGACCTGACTAAATTTAACTACGTGATTGCTCAGTTAGATACCCGAGTTATTGGGGAGGTAGAGGACATTATTCTCCAACCATCACCTGAGGACAAATATGGTGGCCTCAAATCCGAGTTGATCCGTAGGTTGTCCACGTCTGAAGAGCAACGTGTCAGGCAACTTGTCAGTGATGTTGAGTTGGATGACCGCCGTCCTTCGCAGTTTTTACGTCATCTTAGATCATTGGCAGGAAAAACCCTCACTGATGAAAATTTGCTTCGCCAGCTATGGATGCGTCGCCTCCCACAACATCTCCAAGCAATTTTGGCCGCCCAATCAGAACTCTCGCTGGACAAAGTCGCTAAGCTAGCGGACAACATTTTGGAAGTTTCGCCTGGTATGGTCGCACCTCATTCATCTGCTGTTTTCTCAGCAAGTACGTCTGTCGTCTCACCCCCTTCGTTAGAAGATATCACACGGCGTCTGGATGAGGTCACGCGTCAGCTTGCTATGCTTACTGCAGAGTGCGGTAGAAATAGGACCCGGGATTTCTCAAACCAGCGACGACGCTCACAAACGCCTGGTAAGCTTCAAATGTGCTTTTACCATAGGAAATTTAATACTAAAGCTGTTAAGTGTATTCAACCATGTACCTGGACGCCGCCGCCACCTTCGGAAAACGACAAAAGCAGTCAATCGGCTGTCCAATTTCAAAACCTAGTATCTGACAAATAAAAAAAAAAGTGTGTTTTTGCATTTTTCGACCTTGTAGACCATTCTCCACATATTAGGATAGCAAAAACCCCCAAAAATTTGTAAAAAACGAAGTTACACAAAGTCGGAAACCTAGTATCTACAGTAAAGGTTTTCAAAATGCAAAAATTACAAGATTAGAACATAGTATATAACATCAACCATTTTAAAAACCCAATAAGTGCTTGTAGCTACTTGGATTTAAAATGGTTCATGCAGATACTAAGTCAATGAAATGGTTGAAATAAACATCAAAACTCCCGCGAAACTTTAGTAAGTGAGAAAATCGTTGCACGTCGTTCGTGTTTTTGTCTATAAAATGGGTAAAAATCAGTTTTATAGGTCGAAATTGATCTTGAATGCTTTAAAAGAACAACATGGTGAAATGTAAGTACGCTTCAGTGTGTTTTATTATTGTCAAGGTTTTTTGTTTTCCAAAATTGCAACCTACTACGACACATAAAGTAAATGAAGGTGCAAATATTCCAGAAGATCTTAAAATTGCATACGAGGATCACAAAGCTAAAGCAAGTAAAGCAATACAAAAGTATCAAGAAGATGCCTCCCTAGAAAATACTTCCTCTGTGAGATACTATTCGATGGATTTACAAAAAGTTATGTTGTTACCCGACATGCCTAAAGTCAAAGAATCGTTTTTCTTGAGTAGAATGATAACTTTCAACTTGACATTTGCACCAATCAGAAAGAAA